CACATTTGTACATGACTACTGGATAAATCATAGCTTTGACTATATGGACCTTTGTCGGCAAAGTGATATCCCTGCTTTTGAATATGCTGCCTGGTTTTGTCATAGCTTTCCTTCCAAGCAGCAAGTGTCTTTTCATTTCATGGCTTTATATGTAATGAATCTCATCTTATTTAAATGACAGCCTACTGGGAATGACGTTTTCATTTTGGGATTAGAAATAGGTGAAAAGTTATACTGGTGCTCTTCTGCCTTAGAGAAGTTAGAGAAATGGGCTGACACTGTTTTTGGGGATCTCTCAGAGGAACAGAAGGCAATGATCTTTCATGCTTCCAGGAATTCTCAAAAATCAAGGTTAAAAAGGAGGACAGGGGAAGCAGACAGGTGGCCAGAAGCTCAGATATAACTTCAAAGTTTCCAGATTGCTAATCTCATTCCCAGCTTGGGGATTTTAGTGCAAATGCTGATAGCTGTACATTCTGATTTTCTGGGTTCTCCCCTCCTTGGCAACTAATTGCTAACTGGTCACTAGGTTACTTCTAGCACACCACCCATGATCCCAAAGTCTATTCCACAGAAACTGTCCTGCACCAGTTTCAGAATAAATGGGATATTTTTACACAAAAGAGAGAAGATCTATGTTAAAGAAACCCTCCTTTCATGTCTCAACAAAGAGAGGAGAATGTCTGGATTTTCAGTAAAGAGTAAAGACTTCAAGAAAGTTGAAAGGGTTAGCCGCTCAGTCATGTCTGACTCTGTGACCCCATGGACTGTGGCCCACCAGGTTCCTCTGTCCATCAGGATTCTCCAGGCAAGAATATTGGAGTGGGTTGCCATTTCCTCCTCCAGGGGATCTTCCCAATCCCGGGATAGAACCTGGGTCTCCTGCATTGAAGGCAGATTCTTCACCATCTGAATCACCAGAGATTTCATGACCAGAAACTTATTTAGGTTCAAGATCAGGCAACTCCTAATCTTTCTCCCTTTTTGCTCATTAAAGATTTAAAAGTTACTAAAAAACACTGCCAGTGATTCTCAAACTCCTTTTTGCATTTTATTCTTTTCTTTTTAGAATTCATTTTTTGGGGGTAGACAAAACCAATGTTTGTAAGTCAGGTTCTTCCTGTAACCTCCTTGCAAGCATCCCAGAAATAAAATGTAGTGCCAGGGTTACTCTTCAAAGTTTTAGACTACTGAAAGAGATGCAGAGTCATAGAATTTAAATTAGAAGAGATTATTTAATATTAAATGTATTTTTCCAGATCACAGACTAAAACTGCACTATATCTGTAATGGAAACAAAAATGATATGCACCTAAAAATAAAATGATATTCTAAGGGTAGCTCAGATAGTAAAGAATCTGCCTGGAGTACAGGAGACCTGGGTTTGATCCCTGGGTCTGGAAGATCCCCTGGAGATGGGAATGGCAACCCACTCCAGTATTCTTGCCTGGGAAATCCTGTGGATAGAGGAGCCTAGCAGGCTACAGACCATGGGGTTGCAAAGAGTTGGACATGACTGAGCGACTTCCACATACATACATTAAAAAAAAAAAAAAGTAATAAAACAACAGTCTACCATTAGATGTGAGTAAAATTACTGATATCTCAAAGCTGCAGATAAAGTAATAGCTAGATGTCATTTACTTTATTTATTCTTTGAATTAATTTGACCCATTCCTGTCCCCAAAGTCCGCAGATGTCCTTAAAATTCTCTCTTTGAAGAAGGATGTTACTCTTTCAGGCTACCAGGAGCCAGACTGGGCTAAGAACCTGGAATGGATGGGAACAGTCTGAAGTTTTCTGAGACTGACAAGAATGATGGCAGATGCCAGGAAGCAAGACAGAGGCCTGAGTATCAGGTCCCTGGGAGTAAGAGTAAAGCAAATTCGATTCCAAGTGAAAGGTCAGCACAAGATAACATGCATAAAGAAGCAAGCAAGGGGAGCTTAGAAAAATCCACTGATACTAAATATAGGTATTTTTATAGGGCACCTGTGAACAGTACTAACAGGTAACTGAGATGGGGCAGAAAGGTACTAAGGGGCTTAGCCATACCAGACAGCAGGGAGGAATTCAGGGTAAATATTTCATAGAAGATGACTTATTAAAAAAAAAAGTCAAGCTAGCTTTAAAATAATGATTCCTCAAAGCGTGGCCTAGTAACCTCATGTATCAGTATCATCTTACCTGGGGGTGCTTGATAAAAGACAGACTTTTGAGCCCCTGTCAGACCTACTGGATCTTTATTATCAGAGCTCAGCACCCTCTGTTCATTACTGTGCCTTCTGCAGCTGGAAAACTAGTACCTTCAATTATGAATTGAGCACAGATGACTTTCAGCCCGAGACCAATTAAGGACACCAATGAGGAAAAACACCCCTGCAGAGTTTTGTTCCATGCACTAGATCACTCTGTAGCAACCATGTGGGGTGGGGTGAAAGGTTCTGTTTTGCAAGCATAGCCCTTTGGTCAATGTGCTTCTCTTTCGCTGAAATATTTTTCACCTTTTGCAAACTCAGTGACACAACTCTGCTGGGAAAGGACAAACAAGCAGTGCTATGATTTCATCCTCAGAACTAAAAATACCAGATTCATTTCTCCTTGTAATTGCTGTGGCATTCTCAGGTGTTACCCCGAGGGTTGTTTAGGCTCTTCATCCTCAGGGCAGGTAGAAAGTACCCTCACAGAAGCCAAGAATCCAGGACCATGATATACAGTCAGTCTTCCTCTGACACCAAACTGGCTGTCTGATTAAACACCTGGTCTTGGGCAGACACACTTCACTGGCAACAATCTCAACTGGGGAAGCAAACTCTAGGAGACCTAACGGAGAACATGAGGGCTTGAATATGAGCTCAGAACACGAGCCCATGGGCTTAGAAGTGAGTTTTATCTGGGTCACATCTGGAGGACACGTAGATGGTTGCATTATGCATGCTCAGAAGCATCCTGATGCAAACCACAGTGGCTTTGCTGTGTTATGTCTTTTACGCTGCTTTCTGCAGAGCCCTTGACCAATCCAGAGAGTAAATGCTCTGTGTGTGTGTGTGTGTGTGTGTGTGTGTGTGTGTAAGTAATCAAGGGGAACACACTGTCTTACTGGATTGCAGAGCAAATCAAAGCCATGCCACTGGGGACAAGGAACAGGTAGTCCTGCTAAGCTGGTTTGTTGGGCATGCTCTAGAATCATGGTTCCGTTTCTCTTTTTCAAGGTGGAAGCCCAGTGGGGAGAACCAACTGTTCCACATGGGAACACACAGGGCCCACTGTGTTTGGTTGGCTGTGCGCCATCTCCTCCATCCAGCCTTTCTAGTGATCACAGAAAATCATTATGGCTAAAACTCTAAGTTCAGCAGCATGTCTGTGGGTCCAAATTACTCACAAAACATATGGGCAGTAACCTAAGGAAATTCAGAAACAAGTGAAATATTGTAACAGTGATTTTCCTGAGTGTGAGAATTCCTTTAAAATTGAATCACTGATTGTAGAAATGATGATGGGACAGCTGTCAAACTATCATTACAAATACAATTTAGCGTTGTTCGTCTTTATTAAATAAATAGTGGGGGACGTTCAAAGGCCCCACACAAGGGCCTGTGTGTGAAATCAGCTGCCACACAGCATTTTTATTGAATAGTTAATCCATTTGGTTCTATTTGGTGGTTCAGTTGAATGGAGGCGAAGCAAAACAGATATCAGAGGAGACAGAAATTCCAGCTTAAAGGATAAGACGCTTCTTTCATTTGTCGTTGCTTTCATCTTCCTTATTTTAACCCCCTCAAATCAGCATTTTTAAACAGCAGGAAGCAGAGAAGTCTATTGACAGAAGGTATATGTTTGAAAGCAGAAAGCAAAAGAAAATCTGAACAAGACGTAAACTCTCCTGCTTTTTCTTTGTTCTTTGGTTAACAAAATAATGCTGCTGCTACCACATATCATGTCAGACATAACAAGGACCTAACCGTACATCATGCCAGAGTTTAGAAATGATGGGGAGAAAAAAAAAAGAAATGATGGGGAGGTGGGCAAGCATGAAGAGATACAAGTGGTCTCTGATTAGAAAAATTCCACATTGCTGGAGGAAGGATTTGTAGGAGTCAACACATCCTACTCTGACCCTAACCTCACATTCTAACCCATTACAGGAACAATGGATTCATTACTCCTTAAAAAAAAAAAACAAATAAACAAAAAACCTGGGAACTTGGGGCTCCTAGATGCTTAGAATGGATAAGCAGCAAGGTGCTATTCTACAGCAGAGGGACGTATATCCAATCTCCTGGGATAAACCACAACAGAGAAGAATATTAAGAAAAGAATGCATATGTGTGTCAAACTGAGTCACTTTGCTGTACATGTATAGCAGAGATTGGCACAGCATTGTAAATCAACTATACTTCAATTAAAAAAAAAAAACTAATTGGGTGACTGTGATGTCAAGCCCCAGGTATGAAAAGAAAAATAACTTTCAACAAATGCAAATATTCTGTAACTCAACTGGAGGCAAAATTGACCTGAACTTATGAGAGGCTATATATAACTTAGCATGAATATTCATATTTTTTGCTACAGAATTCAAATGTGTTCAATTATGGAATGCTGACCCAGGTTCAGCTGGAGATGTTATATAATACTGGGCATGTTATGTGGACCACATTTCTTTTCTAAAATCAGAAGGATTCTTAATTATCAAACATTTTTGACCCAAACAGTTGCTGATTAGCATTCGTGGGCCTATACTATATGTCACTTTCAAGGTTACACGTAGAGGACATATCGTATGTAAAGAAGACACCATCCTACCCTCAAGGAGGGTTTGTTCCAGAAGGACAGACAGACAACAATCAGAGAAGTAAAGTTAACTCTGTATTTTTAATTAATAAACTATTTTTTTTTAATGTCATCACATTTTATGAAAATGTTCCATTGTTGGCCTGCTTTTCCCACCTACACAGTTTCTCTTGGCTGCATTTCAGGACAGCATGGTCTTGTTTCTCCACCTTGCTTTGGTTCCTCGGCACCCCTCCCCCTTCCATTGAGGACCGACGCAGTTCCAAGCTTTGCCCACCTTCACTGGCCCAGCATCTCCAGACAAGTGTTCGAATCCCGACCCCACAAACGGCCCGCGTCATCCTTGATGAAGGACAAACACAACACAAAGACGAACACTTGGTTGCTTTCTGGACTCACTCCTTTCCTACAAAAGTAGTCAGCAGAGGACTTTACAGCCAGGCTGCGGCCAGCAGGCACTGATTTACAGTCATTTAGTATCGTGAGTTCCTTGTTGCTGCTTCTTTGCAAGTGGACGGCCTCTATCTAATCAGGATGAGGATTTCTTGGGCTTTTGAGCCTGGAAAGGGGCAGCCAGGATGCCCAGCTTCAGATATCAGGTCACGAGGAGCTAAAGCTCTCCTGGGTTGGGGCCTCCCCACCAGGATGAAAATGAGTCAGGCAATAACAAGAGGTCACAGGAAGTTATGGACTGAAGCCAGGGACACCTCCCAACTCTCTAGCCAAACTTGCACTTGTCCATTCCAAGATTTATTCCTCTTCCGACCATTGCTGTTGTTTGGTCACTAAGTCCTGTCCAGCTCTTTGCAACCTCATGAACTTCAGCACACCAGACTTCCTTGTCCTTCACTGTCTCCCAGAGTTTGCTCAAACTCATCTTCATCGAGTTGGTGATGCCATCCAGCCATCTCATCCTCTGTTGCCCCCTTCTCTTGTCCTCAGTCTTTCCCAGCATCAGGGTGTTTTCCAATGAGTCAGGCCCTTTACATCAGGTGGCCAAAGTATTGGAGCTTCAGCTTCAGCATCAGTCCTTCCAATGAATATTCAGGGTTGATTTCCTTTAGGATGGACTGGTATGATCTCCTTGCAGCCTAGGGAACTATCAAGAGTCTTCTCCAACACCACAATTTGAAAGCATCAGTTCTTTGGTAACTTTGTAGTTCAACTCTCACATCCTGAGAGTTGAAAAACTATATTGGAAAAACCATAGCTTTGACATTTGCCAGCAACATGATGTCTCTGCTTTCTAATATGCTGTCTAGGTTTGTCATAGCTTTTCTTCTAAGGAGCAAGCATATTTTAATTTCATGACTACAGTCACCATATCCCCAGTGATTTTGGAGCCTAAGAGAATTTCCAGCCATACGTACTGACATTCCTTGAATTTATCCCAGCCTCTTTCATTCCTCTAAATATGGCTATCAGTTGACTAATAATAATATTTCAATCATTAAACTGGATCTTGTCAAATTTAGGCCTTATTCCAGAGATGGGAATGTGGTATCTCCAGGGTTTAACTTCTGTTTTAAAGAAATCAACACAGAAATACAGTATACTGTCAGTGACTAAAAAGAAAACAGATTAAGAAAAAATTTTAAACAGAGGCCTAGGGTCATCATTGATCAGGTTGCTGGGTCAGGGGTCTCCAAGAGAATACTATGTGATTGCAGACCTGTCTCCACTATCAGCTGAGAAAGGTGAGGTTTAAGGAGTGACTCATCCAAGGTCACATTTCTACGAACTGTGATCATTGGACCTTGCTTCTAGGCTCTCACCAAAGCCCCAAGTTTTAAAAGTTGGGGTGGGGGTGGGAGTGGGCACGGACAGGTCTACAGAGGTTCAAGTTATCTTTTATGATGAAGGGAAAGGAGACGTTTCTCTTCCTTTTGTCTTCAGAAAATAATCTCTCTTAATAATTTACTGTGCTATGTTATGCTGTGTTGTGCTCAGATGCTCAGTCGTGTCAGACTCTTTGTGACCCTGTGGACTATAGCCTGCCAGGCTCCTCTGTCCATGGGATTCTCCAGGCAAGAATTCTGGGGTGGGATGCTCTCCTCCAGGGGATCTTCCCAACCTCGGGTTTGAACCCTTGGCTCCTGCATCTCCTGCACTGCAGGCAGATTCTTTACCTCTGAGCCATGGGGGGACACCCCCTATTAATTAACTACTCATGTTTAAACAGGATAGAGATGCACTGACCATTCCAAATGATAAGAGAACTGACCATCTCTCATGGAGTCTGAAAGTGAAGTTGCTCAGTCTTGTTCAACTCTTTGAAACCCCATGGACTGTAGCCCACCAGGCTCCTCCGTCCATGGAGTTTTCCAGGCAAGAATACTGGAGTGGGTTGCCATTCCCTTCTCCATAATTAATAGACTATTTTCTAAAATAAGTTTAGCATTACAGAAACATTGCGCTGGCACTCAGCTCGGTGCTTTGTGATGATCTAGATGTGTGGGATGGGGAGGGGTGGGTAGAAGGGAGGCTCAAGAAGGGGATATATGTGTATATGTAGCTGATTCTAGAGAAGGAAATGGCAACCCACTCCAGTATTCTTGCCTGGAAAACTCCACGGACAGAGGAGTCTGGCAGGCTACAGCCCATGGGGTCACAAAGAGTCAGCCATGACTGAGTGACTGAGCTCACAGCTGATTCATTTTGTTATATAGCAGAAACCAACACAATGTTGGTAACCAATTATAGTCCAAAACAAAAAAGGCAAGTACAGGAAGTTTTCATATATCCTTTCTCCCCAGCTCACAGTTTCTACTATTAACATCTTGCTCTATGTGGCACATGTGTTATAACAAATAAGCCAATGGATACTGGCTCAAAGTCATGGTGCTATTAACTAAAATTCGTGGTGCAGTAGGGCCCACTCTTTGTGTTGTAAAATTCTTTGGATTTTGGGAAAGGTAATATAAGATGTCTCCCCTATTACATTATCACAGATAGTTTTTGTCCTAAAAACCTCTGTGCTCCACTATAGCTAACTCTTAATGTTCAAATATATCACTATTTACATATCAGTTACATATGAATATAACTGATAGATTTTGGCTAAATAGCTCTAAATATCTCAGATATCCCTAAGGCAAAAATACCTCTGTAGCCTTGAATTGCTTGGTGGGAAGATGCCTGGAACTTCCAAAGGCTCCCACATAGAAAGCGTAAAGAAATCAATGATGCTAAAACAAAATCAAAGGATAGAGCTTCAATGATATCCTTTGAGCTTTGAAGCCACTTCTGTCCAAAGCAAGGCTTATCCCTAAGATGTTCAGGTATGTGAGCAAATGACTGCCTTTACTTAAGCCAATCTGAGCTGAATTTTATCATCTGCAGCTAAATGACTCCTAATCAAAACTGTATTCATAGACAGTACATATCAATTTATTCAGTGGTTTAATTCTTGTCATTGGTCTTCTTTCTCTTCTATTTTCTTTTGACAATTCTCTACATGCATGTGTATCTAAAAATGCACACAAATAGGCCCTTCAACAATGTGATAGACGAAATATTCTCTCTGTGAACCTAATGTTTATTTTTATGCCTCAACCTTCACCTGGTCACTCCTATGATCAACTGCTCCCTAGAGGTCTCCTCCTTCGAACTGTGCCTTTTCTGATTTCTGGATGTGTATAGTAGCTTGGCAGGAAAATTATGACAAACCTACACAGTGTATTGAAAAGTAGAGACATCATTCTGCCAACAAAGGTCCATATGATCAAGGCTATGGTCTTCCCAGTGATCCCGTGTGGTTGTGAGAGCTGGACCGTAAAGAAGGCAGAGCACCAAAAAACTGATGCCTTCAAACTGTGGTGTTGGAGAAGACTCCTGAGAGTCCCTTGGAAAGGAAGGAGATCAAACCAGTCAGTCTAAAAGGAAATCAACCCTGAATACTCACTGGAAGGACTGATGCCAAAGCTGAAGCTCTAGTAGTTTGGTCACCTAATGCGAACAGCTGACTCAGAAGAAAAGACCTTCATGCAGGGAAAGATAGAGGGCAGAAGGAGAAGAGGGCCTCAGAGGATGAGATGACTGGATGGCATCACCGATGCAATGGACATGAACTTGGGCAAACTTCGGGAGATGGTGAGGGGCACAGAGGCCTGGTGTCCTGCAAACCATGGGGTCACAAAGAGTTGGGCATGACTGGGCAACTGAACAACAACAAATGGTATCAAAATTTGTTTTTCCCATGTCTTTCACCATCACAGGACACTATTTCTTATTGGAAATACACACACACACACACACAGCTGTATGGTAATCATCTCCTAAGCTCTACGCTTCCAGCTAGAATTCATATACTTTACCGGTGACCTTTTGAAAAGGTAATTAACCTAAAACAGTGGTAATACTCCTAATGTGCTTTCATGTATTCTTTGCGTGTAGAAAGATACTCCCAGGCCAGTTAAAAATGAATACAGAACGACATTCTTCTCCCCAAATTCTGACTGAATAGATCTGGACTTGGGGCACAGGTATATGCATTTGAACCATGCATCTTAGATTATTCACATGTACGACATCTACAGTCGTGAGTCACCATTTGAAAAAGAAAAACTGAGGGAACGCCAGCAGTGATGGGAGGCTGCTCCAATCCCCAGGTGGCTGCCACAACTGATGAGGTGTGTGATTCTCAGGTCACATGCTGTAACTACCTCTTCTGTATGTCCTGGGTGAGTAGAGTATCTCCCATCCTACAAGCGAATGGGAATAAATCCTTGTGTGCAATGGGAGGTGTCAATGATTATATCAGACCTGTTTTGGCACCTGATGCTTTCCTCATCATGTCTTAAGACTACTGTCATCCAGGTCTGTCCAAGCCTCTGTGTGGCTGGGAGAAACAATGCACTTTTCCCAGTTCTAAGCGTCCCGCAGCTAACACATTCCTTCTCAACTAAAAAAACAAAAACAAAACCCGAAAAATATATGGCCAAAAAGTTGAGGTTGTCTTTGCTGCACTCAGCCATAATTTCACACTTTCTTAGAGACCATCTGCTTTAAGCCCTTCTGGGGTGAACTGCTGGTGTTATTATCGCCTCAATGACACCCCAAGTTCCCCACCACCTTCCCTGACATTAAATTGCTTGAACACGGAACGCCCGCAGGCAGCACTTTCATGTTACATGCACCGCAGCTTTTCAAGGAATATTCATGAACCTTTGCACCTGTCTCTTTGGCAGCTGAAGTACCCCATGTCTGTCTTTCCTTAAATGTTTCAGGTTTTTAATTTGGCACATAGTGAATGTGTCATTATATAGAGGTATATACCAGGGAGCGTGTAAGGGAGTAATCTGAGAACTGTTCAAGCAAAACTGGAACAACCTATTTCTAA